ACGCGAACGCCCCGAGCCAATAGTCGCCTCCCCCGAGAACGAGGCTCACGGGGGGGGCGTTGCCGCAACAGCCTGAGGGCCCATCCCCAGATGCCCTCCCGCTGCTGCCAACCGCCGCCGCCCCTGTGAGCTCACCTGCAGCCTCGGCCTCGACCCCCGCCAGCAGCCCACCCAACAGGACCAGGCAGCAGGCAGCGAATGGCAGCGCAGGACTCATAGTGGCGGTTCGTGGCTGCCCGTGGCGGCGGGAACCCGGCTGCATTTGGCGCACTGGGAGCAAAGCGCGGCCCAACCAACTCACGTGACCGGGCGAGACCACTGCAGCGGGGCCGCAGCGCATGCGTAAGAACGAACGGCACCGCCCACGCCTCTGACTCCGCCCCTTCCCTCCCTCAGCGCGGAGGACGTGGTTCCGTCCCCCTTTCCCCTCCCAGTCAGGGCGCAGTGGAAAAGTCCTCCCGCACTAGCCCCTCACTGCGGGGCCGGCTTCGTCACGTGACCACAACAGGTGTGTGCGGGAGGGCGGCGTGGGGGTAGTGAGGGCAAGGGTGGGGTGTAACACCCCAGGGTGTCATTTCTGTCGGGGTGCCAGTGCCGCTTGCCATTGAACCCCAGACATTGCCCATAGGAAGCCTAGCGTTAAACGCCGCAGTCAGCGTCGTAAAGGCTGTATCTTTTACTGGAGCAACTAGACAGTTGCGAAGCAATTTTTTTTTCTTTATTTGCACGTTTTCGGGTAGAGGCGCTCTTTCTCAGGCATAGGAGAATGCAAAGATTGTAAAATTTCTCCCAGACAGAAATGAAAATGCATATTTCACAGGGGAGCTGGACGGGGCTGTAAAGCTCCTGGCTGGAAAAGTTCGTTTTTCATTTTATGCAAATGAGGCTGGGATAAAAGTTGGAGCAGTCTCTTTACCTCCATGGTGTCTGATGGCAAGCGGGATGTTGAATTATGCTACTTTCTTGTTACGATGTTTCATATTTCACAGGAGCATTGCTGATGGAAGGTCCTCCTGGGCAAGGAATTTCTTTTGTGTTGAGGTTGGAACAGAGCTCTTGGCCCCGGAAGAAGGGCTCTGTCTCCTCAAAAACTTTTCTGTCTTCAAAAACCCAAGCCGAAGTGAAGATGCTGTGAAAGCGGAACTGGGAGGGACTTGTGCTCTGTAGAGACGCTTAAAAGAGCATTCTTTCCAGATAAGATAGTGTAAAGCAGTGGTTCTCAAACTTTTCTGTACCAAGACCCATTTATAAACATTGATGGCAAGCCTGTGCCCCTCACTCCCCAGGCCTCCCACTGTGTGTGGGACCAGTTGCCCGGGGGGGGGTGTAAGAAGCAAGGGAAAAGCTACAGTTTCTCACGCTTTTCTCCTTTAAATGAGAATCCATTTTTAAAGTTTGTTCATGACTTTTTCATATATTTTTGTGACCCACTTTTGGGTCATGACCCACAAGCGAGAGGCTGGTCTAAAAAAGGGTGAGAACCTCTCTCGGGGCTCCGAGCTTCTCGCTCAGCTCTGTCAGAATTTCCCAGGACGAGGGGATGATTAGAAACCACCAGAAGGGGCCTCTGGATTTTTCCTGAGCTCTGATTCCCTGCCTTCAGAGGATGAGTGACTTCCACTGAACTCTGTAGGAGTTGCTTGTGTCTTGTGGATAAAGGAAAGTGAATAAGGACCCCTCTGCCCACCGCCAGGGTCAAGCTCTGCCTCAAAAAGAAGGCTGAGTGCAAATACACCTTTCCTTGTTCAGGCTGGTGTGTCACAACTGGCTTGCTAAATTATCCCCTTTTCTCGGTGCTGTATTTTTAGGATGCCTGCGGTGGAAGGGAGACTGTTAAATTGGCAGTGCTCCTAAAGCTAAATAGAGGGAGATGGTGGAGCTGCTTATTAAAAATGAGAATCCTTTTCAGATGGGATAATTTGAAAATATAGATCCCCACATTCAGGAATCTGAACACTTTAAATAGTGAGGTGTGACATGAAGTCATCAATTAATAATGGCAGGTAGAAAAATTGCAGGACATTTACACCTGAACCTCTTGAAGAGAGGCATCTGTTGTTAAAATGCTTTGAGAGAGTGGTGGTGGATGGGTCGGTATCGACCTGGAAGGACGTGGGCAGTGGGGTCCCGCAGGGCTCGGACCTTGGATCCATACTCTTCAATGTCTTCATCAGTGACTTGGACGAGGGCGTGAAGTGTACTCTGTCCAAGTTTGCGGATGATACAAAACTGTGGGGAGAAGTAGACACACCTGAGGGCAGGGAACAACTACAAGCAGACCTGGACAGGTTGGACAAATGGGCAGAAAACAATAGAATACAATTTAACAAGGAGAAATGCAAAGTGCTGCACCTAGGGAAGAAAACTGTCCAGCATACCTACTGCCTAGGAAATGACCTGCTCAGTAGCATGGAAGCGGAAAGGGATCTTGGAGTCCTAGTGGACTCCAAGGTGAACATGAGTCGTCAGTGTGACAAAGTCATCAGGAAAGCTAACTGCACTTTATCATGCATCAGCAGATGCATGACAAACAGAACCAAGGAGGTGATACTTCCCCTCTATCAGGAACCGGTCAGACCGCAGTTGGAATACTGCGTGCGGTTTTGGGCGCCAAACTTCAAGAGGGATGTGGATAACCTGCAGAGGGTCCAGAGAAGGGCCACTCGTATGGTTAAGGGCTTGCAGACCAAGCCCTATGAGGAGAGGCTAGGGCACCTGGACCTCTTCAGCCTCCGCAAGAGAAGGTTGAGGTGACCTTGTGGCTGCCTATAAATTCATCATGGGGGTGCAGAAGGGAATTGGTGAGGCTCTACTCACCAAGGCGCCCCTGGGGGGGGTCACAAGAAATAATGGCCATAAGCTAGCAGAGAGCAGATTTAGACTGGACATTAGGAAGAACTAATGTGGGAGGTGGTGCTCTCCCCTACCCTGGGGGTCTTCAAGAGGTTAGATAGGCATCTGGCTGGGGTCATCTGAACCCAACTCTCTTTTCTGCCTATGCAGGGGGTCAGACTCGATGATCTATTGAGGTCCCTTCCAACCCTAACATCCATGAATCTATGAATCTTTGAGAAGTGTGGTAATGTGGGAGTGAAAAGAGGTAGATTGTTTTAGAAGTTTTTGAAGCAGATTGCAACACACATGCTCCAAAAATCAAATGTTATTTGAAACCCATTTATCTTTAGAGATAACACAGCAGGCATAGGCGACTGGTACCTCCTGAGTCAGGAGGGGCACTTGCTCCCCCCCCAGCAGACAGTTAGCAACCAGGGGGGGTCGCCCTGTGGCTGATCCTGCCAACCAGGGGAAAGGGTCCCCTGCGGCTGATCCTGCTGATCCACAACTGGCAGCGGTGCACCGCTGGCACTTCCGGGTCAGCAGAATCGGCCGCGGTGGGGGATTGCTTCTCCTGGCGCATCTCCTGGCTGGTGCCCTTGGGGGCACCAGCACTCTTGCCTACCCCGCTTCCTGGGAACACTGCTGTCAGGGGGTGCACCAGTGCTCTCAGGAAGTGCACGTGCACCCCCGTGTACCCCCTATGCATCGCCACTGACAGCAGGGATTTATTTACACAGAAGTAATCCAGTTCCATCTATATACTGGCTGCAGTCCAGATTTAAGGGCTTCATTCAGCTCCAGTGAATTCACTGGAGTTGGTTCCTTTGCAGAACCAGTGTTTTGTGAAAGCAGTCACACCACACCAGAGTAAGGATTCTGCTACCATCTGGCAGCCAGCAGAAGACATATGGACACCTTCATATGTTCTGCTGGTTGTCCTGATTCCTTCTGCACCTGATGCTTTTCCAGGAGGCCACTGGTGAAGCGTAGGGGGTGTATGTGGGTCCATGTGCACCCCCTGAGATTGTTTGTGCACCCCTTGGAAGCACCAGCTGTGAAACCGGAAGTGCTGGCAGAAGTACACTTCTGGTTTCGCTGCTGGCTCCCCAGTGAGCCGCTGGGAACTGCCCCCCCCCCCCCCCCCCCCCCGGGCGCGCCGCCCCCCACCCCCCGTCAGCGGTCTGGTGCCCCCCCAGACTTGGGAGGCACCAGTCAGGGGGCCTTCAGTGCTCCTGTACTACAGCTGTTATAGTGGAGCTTTGCAGAGGTGGCGAAACCCCATGGACATGTACTACTTTGGCAGCTTTTGCAAGAGTGGTTGCTGTCTGCTGCTAGATCTTCTGCCAGCAGAAGGAAGTAAGTGTGCACCAGGTCTTACCTTCTACCAGGCTTTAGGTACTTTAGAAAAGGTCATCAATTTTAAAGTAGCTCTAGCTGTACCTGGAAAGGCTCACCAAGGCTGCCTATCATTTTTCATGATATGTCTGATTTCAGTGGCTTATAACTTTGCCAAGCTTTTAATGGATTGAGCTAAAATTTTCAAGGCTACCTCTGGCTGATTAAAAAAATGTAAAAATCAGCCAAAATTATTCAGTCATTTCCAAGAAGAGGAAAAATATATTGTTCTGTGTACAATAAAATACTGGGTAATTGGAGCTTCTCTTCCTGGTGAGCTGCTGAGGAAAATACTTTGCTCAAACTGGTTTGTGTTTATCTTTTGTTACTAATAAATTATGCTTTATTGGATTCTGATATGAAAAGCAATCCTTCTCATTTCACAACCATTGTGACTTCATAGGACTTTGATATGGAATTCCCAACACCTCCTGATATATTTATATATTATTGTATGGCTTGCAAATTTTATTGTTAAATCTTTTATATCTTTATTGAGAGGCACTACTACGTATTGGAATCAGATGTTTACAGTAACCTATCAAACAGCCAGGGTAGCTGATTAACACAGGTATTTGTAGGAATAGAAATTGTTTGAATTTTAATCTTAACATTGGAAAGAGAAGTGTCACAGAGGACCACCATATTTTTCTCAAAGTTTTGAAGAGCAATGAGGAGTTAAAGTCCAGCTTGATCTGGTCTAAAAATATAGCAGAACTTAGTGTACATTTGGAGAGTAGGCCTGTGTGAATAGGGAAGTATTCGATTCGGATTCAGCCAATTCAGAGGGCAATGATTCAATTAGAAGATTTAGATCACTGTCCTGTATCAATTCGGCCGAATTGGCTTCGAAAGATTCAGTGCTGATTTGAAGATTCGGCCATAGACTATAATGGGGAATCACTGAAATACCTATAACTTTGTCATTTTTTGGCTGATTCAGATGAAACTTGCAGGGATGGTAGCACTGCACACACACACACACACACACACACACACACCCCCAAATGCAGGTGCTTCCTCAGCCTGACAAAAGGTTTTTCAACTGGAAAGCTGGCATCCCAGGCAGCTAAGCTGAGATCACCTGGAGCCTCAGAACTC